CAGAGCCTCGCTCAAACATTGACCAGATGATAGAGGCTCTGGCAAACAGGCAATATGGGAGTGAGCAGCCACCGTCAACACCCAATCAACACCAGGCATCATCTCTTCTGCGACATGTTACTTCTCCACGATCAGGTATATATTACAGATATTACATGTATTACAGGACCAGGTATATGTGCACTCTTTCAAATGCATCTGAGGTTGTCAATTGGTCTGTGAAGCCAATTCTTAAACCTCGTGCTGACACTGTGTACAGTGGAATTAGTTTGAGAATGTTCTTCTTATTTAGAGTCAGGGTAGCTCATTCTGTATAGTGATTGACTATGGACTAGACAACCAGGGTTTAATTCTGATGGGGCAGAGGGTTTTTCTTCTAGCCTCTGCATCCAGACCAGCTCTTGGGCCCACCCAGCCTGATGTCTAATGGGTACCAGGGACCTTTCCCAGGGATAAAGTGTGTCTAAAAGATGGCTGTCTTCTGGGTTGTAGTGCCATGTAGTCTACTGTTTCTGAGGTCCTTGCTCCCTCAATCGCTAGGGTGATCACCCTTTTGCTAAATCACAAAAAATGTCTCCCAACATGCATTTTTTGTTTGATAGATTTTAGCCCATTATCTGTTTGTCTGAAGGCTGGATTTCAGAGGCCACACTTCACCTGAAGCCAAATTGTTCTGGTACCATTATGATTCAGAATATTGAACCTGTCTGTCTGAGAGTTAGTGAAGTATGTTGTCTGCAGGACATCGCGTGGGAATGCGTCGCAGTGGGGACGTGGAAGGTGTACGGCAGTCAAGTGGAAATTGGCAACGAGGCAGCAACATCAGCTGGTGCAAACGCAATCTAGTGCGAAGCCTGGACACTGCCATGCTGCGTAACAGAAGACAAAGACTGTGAGTTGGAGTGGAGTGGTATTACTGTAGTATTCCACATGCACCGTTTGCACCTTCTCTTCAGGTTGTGGCAAAATTGTCTTGCAGCATGGCATTTGGATCACTGGAGCTGGACACATATCGACGGGAGCAGCGGCGGCGTCCTGTTCCTGAGGTGCAGCCAGTCTCGAAGCGGCCAACGAGTGGCAGCCAGGGGGTGAGCACCAGGAGGCAGCATCGTAGGGGCGGTCAGCGCACGCAGCACTCATATAGGACTCGAGCTGCACGTGGTGAGCAGCATTTTGCCAGCGAGTTTGAGGCAAGTCAAGTTGTAGTGTTTTCTGCTTCCGTTATTTGCTGTGTGGGGACACATCATTTGTTTATGTGCCTGTGTATGTGATTTGGCAGAACCCTGAAAACTTGGACCTGAGCCCCAGTGTAACGTCAGATAGTGAAGGGGATGGGGATGATTCTACAGCTCATTCAGAGGACCTGGCCGGCTCAAGTGACTCTAGCACCAGTGACTCGGAGAGCTCCGAGTACTCGGACTGGATTGCAGATGCAGGTGTGAACCTGGAGCCTCCAAAACGGAGCAAGAGGAGACCAGCTCCCAAACAGTCGCCACAGGGGGAGACTGGGCGGCGTCTGACTCGCACAAAGCAGAACAAAAAGGTGAGGCCATCGGATTGTTTGCTGGTATCGCTGTATATTGCAGTGTATCGCAGGTGAAGATTGAAGTTATTTTGTTATGAAGGTGGTACTACCGGCTCCAAACGTGACAAGTCTGTCTGAGGTGCCTGAGGCATTCCGTCCCACTGAGTGGTTATCAGAGGTAATCCCACGCAAGGCTCCCTACTACCCTCAGATGGGAGATGAAGTCATGTACTTTCGTCAGGGTCACCAACTGTACCTTAATGCTGTTCGTGCGAAGAATGTCTATGACGTGGGACCTAGGAGTGAACCGTGGGCACGGCAGACCATTAGGGTGAGTCAGAAGCCACGTAGCATGAATAAAGTGTAACCTTTGATGATGTATGATTTGAAACTTCCACAGCAACCAAACTTACATAAAATATTAAGTGGCAATCAGCCGTGTCAAATGGTTATACAAAGAAGCCAGCGTTTTGGGAACCGTTTGATGCGGCTGATTGCCCGAGAAGATATTATGGAGCCTTTGATGTTATTGTGCGTCTACATAGTTCTTGAATGCTGTATGTCTGGGTGTTGTGGCTCTGAGTAGCTCTTTCCCCCTCTTAATGCATGTTAACTTTATGTAGAGAATGGTAAAAACTGCAGCAGATATAAATGAAATTAAGAGAATTATAAATTTTTGTCTTTATTCAATTCAGAAACTTACCCTGTCTTGCCACGTTTTTTAAACACTAACAATTTTAATGCATATTAAACAGTTTGTATATAAGGAATGATTAGTAAGTGGGGAATGTAAGAAATATTGCTACAAGGAAATTTTGTGACATAGATGAAAAAGGTGAACCAGCAAAGTTTCTGTTTCTTTGTGTCTCATGAAAGTGGTTCCATTGAACATGAAACTTGGTTCCAGTTCTTGCCAGTTTTTCCCTGTCTCAGAACATTCTTGTGTCCAGGCCCACGAGCTTGTCAAGGTGATTGGAATCAAGTATGAGATTCGGCCACCACGACTCTGCTGCCTGAAGCTTGCGCTGATGGATGAAGGTGGGCGGCTCACAGGCGAGAATTTCACGATCAAGTACCATGACATGGCCGACGTACTGGACTTCCTGGTGCTGAGGCAGACTTATGAGACAGCTCTGGCACGACGCTGGAAGGGTGGTGGGTGCAGATAGCTGCTGTGAATATGTAATCAGAAGTATGGGAAATTGGCGAAACTGGGTTGTTGTTTTTTTCCCCCTCATTTTTCTCTTCACTGATCTCAATAAGTGTAACACAGGTGATGTTTGTTTTATGCTCAGCCAATTGCTGTTTGTAAGATTCAAAGTCCATTTGTGAAGAAACTTTAAAAATTCTACACGTTTTATTTAAACTCCCCCTCTCATTAAATGACAGATAAGAGCTTCAGTTGCATCCATCTCTGTTCCCATCAGAATGTATCAATTATACATCAACATTTTTAAGTACAGCAGTAGTCTGACAGCCCCATATGATCCAAAATTCAATCCAAGCATCAGATTTTCTGTTAATTTTATTGAAAATACAAGCATTTGTTCTGACTTCAACTAACTGCTTTGAGTAGAGAGAGCCCTTTTCAAGAAGCTGGTGGTTACCCAGCTAAGATATCACCTGCATTTTATGAAGCCTTGGACATAGGCCATGATTGTGTCATTGTTTGTAATCATCACGTCATTCAGTGCCATATAGAATATGCAGTTGATAAAGCAGCATTATATAAACAAGAAACAGGCAGGCAAACAAGTAAACGTCTTTATTCTCTTGTGTTGCCAGGTGATAGCTTCCGCTGCATGATTGATGACTGTTGGTGGACAGGTCGGATAGAGTCGCAGAGCCCCTTGGACTCTGTGGAGTTCCCCAATTCACTCTTCACTTGCTACCGAGTACGGTGGGATAATGGGGAGTATGAACGCATGAGTCCCTGGGACCTGGAACCTGTGGATGAACACCGATTGCCACGTGAGGTAAGACCATATCCAGCAAATTGTAGTTTGGTCCTATTATTGGTCATAGAAATTCAATTACAGTCATCTTAGTATGGTGTCTAGGCTATGTGCTGGATGACCACGGTTTGATTCCAGGCAGGGACAAGATATAATCCTCTTAGCTACCATATCGAGACCAGCTCTGGCGCTCCCAGTCAGTACAGAGGGGTTCTTTCTCCTAGGGTAAAATGACTGATTTGTAAAGCTGATCACTCACCTCCAAGTACGAAGGTTAAGAATGTGTGGAGCTGTACATCCGCTTCCCATACCTCTTTATAGCATGATGCTTAATAAGCAGCAGGGACAACTTCTTGAAGTGTAACTGAAGCGTGTTATCACTTGCAGTTCTGTTCACATGAGCACACAAACAGCAGGCTTGTGTTCCCTACATGAAGTAAGTGTCTATATTCTTTCAGGTTGGAGGGGCAGTGCCTGTCCTTCCTGAAGAGCTCCAGGCCACATTGTACCGGCCAATTTCACAAGAGTGGCCACAAGGAGGTCGTGATGCCACGTGCACACGCATACTTCGTGGTCTGGACCAAATCATGAGTCTGGCCATTGCAGAACCGTTCATAGCGCCTGTTGACTTGAACCACTACCCAAGCTATGCCTTTGTTGTAGAATACCCCATTGACCTTTCCACCATCAAGGTGAGTGCCACAGAATTCAATTGATGGCATGCGGAAAATGGGCTAATCTGAGCGAGCTTGGTCCAGTTCATAACCCTGCAATATATTGCTAGAAATTGTTTTGAAATAATCTGAATACATTTGTTGTTTCTTTCATTAGGACTATAAGTTCAGCCGTTCAAAAGTTTTTTGGTATAGTCATCTTGTCTGGTCTTCTTTGTATCAGGTCCAGGTATTACTGAATTTGAAGCACCCAAGAAAAACTTGTTTAGACCCTCATGATTGGCAACACAAAATATTTCTTTTTGAATTTCATGTACAGTTTCCCAGTTACAACACAAGCATAAGATAGAGCAAGAATAAAATTCCCTGTCGTAGTCGAAATATTTGGTATGGGATTCCTTTTACCATATAGCTAATAAAAATGCCATAGGTGGAAATATCGTACTCGTATCTTCACAGGATGTCTCATCCAAACCACATTAAGATGGATAAATCTTATGGGAAACATTGTGCACCTAACATCTGAGTGACACAGTGTGCGTTGTTCCTCTCAGTCAGCCAAACGTGTCAGCAGTGTGTAGTAACAGTTCCACGGAGAAGAACCTTCAGCAGCTTGTGGATTTGTGAAAGATCGTGGAAAACTGATGCTGCATTTTGTATTACAGGGCCGCTTTGAGAATCATTTTTACCGTCGTGTGACATCAGCTCAGTTTGATGTGCGATACATTGCTACCAATGCAGAGAAGTTCAATGAGCCAGGCAGTCAGATCGTGAAGAAGGCCCGCATCGTTACTGAGCTGTGTTTGCGTGTCATCAAGTAAGCAGCAGCAACAACTCTGTCCCTTTTGCCGTTGCTTTATAGCATATCTTTCTTTTATGACTTCAACCCATTTCAACTCTTGTAATTTATTTGACATATTTTTAATTTTGATTTTGTCTATTTTCTGTAATCTCCCATACACATTGTTAAGAAGTTACAGTATGACACAGACATTGCAGGCCTGAAACACACTTTACTTTTTCTCTTCCACTTTCTATTTATTCTTCCTTCCGCTTCTCATAAGTCCTATTCTTCATCTGCTAATTCTCC